AGTGGAGGGATATGTTGGAGAGAGAGGGACTGCTCTGTTCTGCTCTGCTTAATGCGCGACTCTTCCCTTCCTCTGACTGAGGCTTTGACTGACTGACTGTCCTCTCCTCCTCTCTGCCTCTCTGTCCGCCTGCCCGCCATGTCTGCCCTGAAGAGGAGCAAGCGCTCCTCCGAGTCCATCTATGACATGCTGCATCTGGTGAGCTGCTCTCTAAAATAACTGACAAGCTACATCTACTGCTCTTTACTCACGTCATTGGTTTTCTTCACTGTTTGTCGTCTCTCTGTCGGTTTGTTGGTTCAAACCGTCAACTGTCATTTTCTTGTCGGTCAGATGCTGTATTCCACGCTGTGTGAGACTGTTGTCGCTTGCTAACTTAGAATAACTGAAGGCTACCTGGTGTTGTGAGGGTGTGTGTTTCCTGATGTTTTTAATCACTGTGATTCACACCTTCTCTGCATCCCAAATGGCACCCTATCCCCTATATATAGTGCACTATGGGCGCTGGTCTAAAGTAGTGCACTAAAAAAGGGAATAGGGTGCCGTTTGGGACGCACACCTTCTCTTGGCTGCTAGGGTACAGGAAGCTGTGATTCAGCGCTGTCAGCTAGCAAAGCTCTCCAATCTGTCACCACAGTCCCTCAGCGCTGTCAGCTAGCAAAGATCTCCAATCTGTCACCACAGTCCCTCAGCGCTGTCAGCTAGCAAAGATCTCCAATCTGTCACCACAGTCCTTCTATAAGCGTTTCTGTTATACACTTCTGCACAAGACTGTAGGTTAAGTTTCTGCAAAGCTTTTGACTGACGGTGTCGTCCAGTGATTGTGAGCTGACACCAGCCTTGGTGCTCTTCCATTGGTTCTGTGCTAGCCTATGGTGTAGGGGAGGTCAAAGAGCTCTGCTTCCAGCCTGATCCTGGATCGGTTTGTGCTGTCCTGCCAACTCCTTATCATTCATTGTCATAAGGAATTGTCAAAACTGTACAAACCAGAGCCATATATTTCTAAATACATGGCGCTGTACAAACCATAGAAATATAATGAATAGAATGTGCTTGGAACCTCTAACCCTGGTACTTTGACTGGTTAACTCATGGGTACACTTGCAATGGCTGCCTGATATTGTGATGCAATAATTTCCATGGTAATGTAGAATGTTCATTCAAATGATGTTAACTGATGTGGCTCATGCAATGGAACGTACACTATATATATAAAAGTTTGTGGACACCCTTTCAAATGAGTGGATTTGGCTATTTCAGCCACACCCGTTGCTGACAGGTGTATAAAAATCGAGCACACAGCCATGCAATCTCAATAGGCAAACATCGGCAGTAGAGCTCAGTGAAGAGCTCAGTGACTTTCAACGTGGCACCGTCATAGGATGCCACCTTTCCAACAAGTCAGTTCGTCAAATTTCTGCCCTGCTAGAGCTGCCCCGGTCAGCTGTAAGTGCTGTTATTGTTAAGTGGAAACGTCTAGGAGCAACAACGGCTCAGCTGCGAAGTGGTAGGCCAATACAAGCTCACAGAACGGGACCGCAGAGTGCTGAAGCGCGTAAATAAATGTGTCTGTCACCGGTTGCAATACTCACTACCAAGTTCCAAACTGCCTCTGGAAGCAATGTCAGCACAAGAACTGTTCGTCGGGAGCTTCATCACCATGTGCAATGCCAAGCGTCGGCTGGAGTGGTGTAAAGCTCGCCGCCATTGGACTCTGGAGCAGTGGAAACACGTTCTCTGGAGTGATGAGTCTGACTGACGAATCTGAGTTTTGCGGATGCCAGGAGAACGCTACCTGCCCGAATGCATAGTGCCAACTGTAAAGTTTGGTGGTGGAGGAATAATGATCTGGGGCTGTTTTTCATGGTTCAGGCTAGGCCCCTTAGTTCCAGTGAAGTGAAATCTTAATGCAACAGCATACAATGACATTCAAGACGATTCTGTGCTTCCAACTTTGTGGCAACAGTTTGGGGAAGGACTTTTCCTGTTTCAGCATGACAATGCCCCCATGCACAAAGCGAGGTCCATACAGAAATGGTTTGTCGAGATTGATGTGGAAGAACTTGACTGGCCTGCACAGAGCCCTGACCTCAACCCCATCTAGTGGGAAGCCTTCCCAGAAGAATGGAGGCTGTTATAGCAGCAAAGAGGGGACCATCAAAGAGTCCTTTTCTATTCATTCTATTTCTATCGTACAAACAGATCTGGGATCAAGCTAGTAGTGGTGGAGGTCTTGACTAGTAGTGGTGGAGGTCTTGACTAGTAGTGGTGGAGGTCTTGACTAGTAGTGGTGGAGGTCTTGACTAGTGGAGGTGGAGGTCTTGACTAGTAGTGGTGGAGGTCTTGACTAGTGGAGGTCTTGACTAGTAGTGGTGATCTTGGCTAGTAGTGGTGGAGGTCACAGAAATATCAGCCTCTCATTCTTATCTCTCTGGTTAAGATAGGAGAGAAACACTCTGTCCTCAGTCCTTATCTGTCCTCCTCCTGGGACATAGGACATTCAAGGAAACATTGTTTTGAAATCCACATTTCAGTCCTGGTGGGAAATTCTTGAATCTGACTTCCCAGCTCAGTGGCTGCTTCTACTGTGTTGTATTATGTTGTGGGCCGTTATGGCTCGGAAAAGGCCAACTAAATTAGCTAGAAGTTCCTCACTGAGGTATTTATGTCCTTAAACAATTAAGTTGGAAGAGGAAGCATTGAATAAAGGAAATTAATACATGGGAGGACATTCATTTTAATAACCAAACTCTCCCGTAAAGGGTAGCCTAAGATGCAGTGAGGACCATATACAGTACTTGCATATATTCCCCAATGTTGCGTTGAAATTCTCCTTAATCATAAAATGTAAACTGGGTCGAATTTGAATGCCCAGGTATGTAAATCCCTTATTTTCTAGGGTGATAGTTAAAGATGGTAATGTGACTTGTTTAGAGGCACTAAGAATATTTGAATGTGGCAGACATTGCTGTAGAAACCATTGTGGCTATGCAGTTCATTAGACAATGTTAGATTGTGACCTGGATCACTTGATCTCAATACTCAGCAGAAGAGGAGTAGATCAGATTAGCATGGCATCATTATATTTATTTGCATCAGAGGGCTCTTTCCTTCTCTCTCTCTCCTTCACTGTTTATTTCTCTCTCTCTCTCTCTCTCTCTCTCTCTCTCTCTCTCTCTCTCTCTCTCTCTCTCTCTCAATTCAATTTCAATTTCAATAAAATGTAAGGGCTTTATTGGCATGGGAAACATATGTTAACATTGCCAAAGCAAGTGAAGTAGATAGTAAACAAAAGTGAAATAAACAATAGATATTAACAGTAAACATTTCTCTCTCTCTCTCCCTCTTCTTCACTGTTTATTTACATCAGAGGGTTCTTTCCCTGTCTCTCTCTTCTTCACTGGTAAATTAGGCCTTGCAATAGACTAGTGTCCTGTCCAGGGGGTGTACTTGTACATCAAGCTGCCTCACACTACAGAAACAGGGGATAGGCTCCTGCCCTCTGGGCCGTTCTGCCTCGGAAAAGGCTATTTATTAGGTTTGTTTACATCAGAGGGCCCTTTCCCTGTCTCTCTTCTTCACTGGTAAATTAGTAATGTCAGGGATGAAACCCTGATGAAGGCAGCATAGCTATGGAAACGTTGGTATCTGTTATCAGAGCCACAGTGTGTACAGCTCTTCTGTTCTTTTCTTTTCTAAATGTCTTACTCCGCCAGTCAGCACCTCGCCTACTCAGGTTTGTGTTTTTGCTTCTCCAAATGAAACATTTCATCCACATCTGAACACAAACAGACAGCACTGCTAGAGGCAGACAGACAGCACTGCTAGAGGCAGAGAGACAGCACTGCTAGAGGCAGAGAGACAGCACTGCTAGAGGCAGACAGACAGCACTGCTAGAGGCAGACAGACAGCACTGCTAGAGGCAGACAGACAGCACTGCTAGAGGCAGACAGACAGCACTGCTAGAGGCAGACAGACAGCACTGCTAGAGGCAGACAGACAGCACTGCTAGAGGCAGGCAGACAGCACTGCTAGAGGCAGGCAGACAGACAGCACTGCTAGAGGCAGGCAGACAGACAGCACTGCTAGAGGCAGGCAGACAGACAGCACTGCTAGAGGCAGGCAGACAGACAGCACTGCTAGAGACAGACAGACAGACAGCACTGCTAGAGACAGACAGACAGACAGCACTGCTAGAGGCAGACAGACAGACAGCATTGTTAGAGGCAGACAGACAGACAGCACTGCTAGAGGCAGACAGACAGACAGCACTGCTAGAGGCAGACAGACAGACAGACAGACAGCACTGCTACAGGCAGACAGACAGACAGACAGCACTGCTACAGGCAGACAGACAGACAGACAGCACTGCTACAGGCAGACAGACAGACAGACAGCACTGCTAGAGGCAGACAGGCAGACAGCACTGCTAGAGGCAGACAGACAGACAGCACTGCTAGAGGCAGACAGACAGACAGCACTGCTAGAGGCAGACAGACAGACAGCACTTCTAGAGGCAGACAGACAGCACTTCTAGAGGCAGACAGACAGCACTGCTAGAGGCAGACAGACAGCACTGCTAGAGGCAGACAGACAGCACTGCTAGAGGCAGACAGACAGCACTGCTAGAGGCAGACAGACAGCACTGCTAGAGGCAGACAGACAGCACTGCTAGAGGCAGACAGACAGCACTGCTAGAGGCAGGCAGACAGACAGCACTGCTAGAGGCAGACAGACAGCACTGCTAGAGGCAGACAGACAGCACTTCTAGAGGCAGACAGACAGCACTGCTAGAGGCAGACAGACAGCACTGCTAGAGGCAGACAGACAGCACTGCTAGAGGCAGGCAGACAGCACTGCTAGAGGCAGGCAGACAGACAGCACTGCTAGAGGCAGACAGCACTTCTAGAGGCAGACAGACAGCACTGCTACAGGCAGTAGGTGGAGGAAAGGAACCACTGATAGAAGACCTGTGTTCTATTTCCGTCTGTGTGTGTAGGATGGGCAGAGTTGGTCTTTTGGATCTTTCAAGTAGCTCTTCAAGCTCTTCTCAGTGTGTTGTTGTACAATATGTCACTGCTGCAGGAAGACATAATGCTCCTCTTTCCATAACACAGACAGGTTAGAGAGGTGAGAGTTGCCACTGGGTATTATCCATCTCCTCTTCAGCGTTAGAGGTCAGAGGTTACTATCCATCTCCTTTTCAGAGTTAGAGAGGTCAGAGGTTACTATCCATCTCCTCTTCAGCGTTAGAGGTCAGAGGTTACTATCCATCTCCTCTTCAGCGTTAGAGGTCAGAGGTTACTATCCATCTCCTCTTCAGCTGTTCTTTATATGTTCTCTGGTAAATAGCGCTCCTGTCTACGGCCCAAATGGCACCCTATTCCATACATAGTGCACTACTTTTGACCAGGGCACTCAATAGAGCAGGGTTCTTCAATTCCGGTCCTGGAGGGCCGAAACACTTCTGTTTTTTATTTCTACCTGGTAGTTAATTGCACTCACCTGGTGTCCCAGGTCTGAATTAGCCCCTGATTAGAAGGAGAGGATGAAAAACAGAGGCGTTTCGGCCCTCCAGGACCAGAATTGAAGAACCCTGCAATAGAGAATAGGGTGCCATTTGCGAAACAGCCATAGTGTACAACAGCTCTTCTATTATCAGTGGGTCTGGTCTTTCAGCACGCTGTGTCATGGACACACAACACTGGGTCCTTTGTGTTAGCTATGAGATGTGGTTAAGAAGTCTTTCAGCACACTGTGTCATGGACACACAACACCGGGTCCTTTGTGTTAGCTATGAGATGTGGTTAAGAAGTCTTTCAGCACACTGTGTCATGGACACACAACACCGGGTCCTTTGTGTTAGCTATGAGATGTGGTTAAGAAGTCTTTCAGCACACTGTGTCATGGACACACAACACCGGGTCCTTAGTGTTAGCTATGAGATGTGGTTAAGAATTACAAGTATAACGGATCATATCTCCCCTAACAGTTTAGCAGAAATAGTTTTGCTGACAGAAAGACACTTTCAATCTCTAATCCTTCTTAGATTGATTGCCTTATGGATTCAATTAAATTGGTGCTTCCTCGGGTGTGTTGTCTTGACATTTAATTTCATGCCAAATTAATCACACCACATGTCTAATTATTTAAGTCAAAGTCTGTTCCTGCAACAGCACAGTGCTTTTTCTCTCTTACACACCAGAGTATAGAGCGGTTAGCTGACAACATCACCGAAACGATGCATGCATGCGGTTCAATGGGGCAGAAGGCTGTGTGTTGTGATTCTGGATGGCCAGATACCTAGCAACAATGATAAGAAGCTGCCATGTGGAGAATCTTAGTTGGCTCATTTCAACTTGTTTTAACTGGTTCTTCATACCATGTCTTCGTTTTGAGGTGTTTGACTGATGTCACGTCTATGCCAATATGGCTAAAATTGGCTAGCTAGCTAACCAACAACTGTAACAATGTATTTGAGAGACAACAAGTGCTCATTGTGCAAATGTATTTATGTTTTCAATAAACATAGGAGTCGAAATACACTATATATACAAAAGTATGTGGACACCTCAATCAAATTAGTGGATTTGGCTAGTTCAGCCACACCCCGTTGCTGAAGAGCTCAGTGACTTTAAATGTGGCACCGTCATAGGATGCCACCTTTCCAACAAGTCAGTTCATCAAATTTCTGCCCTGCTAGAGCTGCCCCGGTCAACTGTTAGTGCTGTTATTGTGAAGTGAAAACATCTAGGAGCAACAACGGCTCAGCTGCGAAGTGGTAGGCCAACACAAGCTCACAGAACGGGACTGCCGAGTGCTGAAGCGCATAATAATCTTCTGTCTTCGGGTTGCAACACTCACTACCCAGTTCCAAACTGCCTCTGGAAGCAACGTCAGCACAATAACTGTTAGTCGGGAGCTTCATGAAATGGGTTTCCATGGCCGATCAGCCGCACACAAGCCTAAGATCACCATGCACAATGCCAAGCGTCGGCTGGAGTGGTGTAAAGCTTGCCCCCATTGGACTCTGGAGCAGTGTGGAAACGCGTTCTCTGGAGTGATGAACCACGCTTCACCATCTGGCAGTCCGACAGACAAATCTGGGTTTGGTGGATACCAGGAGGAGGAATAATGGTCTGGGGCAGTTTTTTTTCATGATTCGGGCTAGGCCCCTTAGTAGACGAATTAGTGCAAATAATTATTTTTTGCGCTCCCTCCTCTTCTCCATCCTGCCTCTCCTCTCCTCTCCTCTATTGTCCTCTCTCTCCATCCTGCCTCTCCTCTCCTCTCCTCTACTGTCCTCTCTCTCCATCCTGCCTCTCCTCTCCGCGTAGTCACTAATTGCCAGACGGCCTCATGGATCAGTGTTAGAGGAACTGAAGGAAATTGACAGCCGTACGTACGTACCTTCCTCCTGCCTGCCTGCCTCGGAGAGACTGATCAGGGGGTAGAAACAGACAGAAGAGGGAGGGAGGGAGGGAGGGAGGGAGGGAGAGAGAGAGAGAGAGGGAGAGAGAGACTTTGTGGCAACAGTTTGGGGAAGGCCCTTTCCTCTTTCAGCATGATAATGCCCCCATGCACAAAGCGAGGTCCATACAGAAATGGTCGTGGAGATCGGTGTGGAAGAACTTGACTGGCCTGCACAGAGTCCTGACCTCAACCCCATTGAACACCTTTGGGATGAATTGGAACGCCGACTGCGAGCCAGGCCTAATCGCCCAACATCAGTGCCTGAACTCACAAATGCTCTTGTGGCTGAATGGAAGCAAGTCTCCACAGCAATGTTCCAACATCTAGTGGAAAGCCTTCCCAGAAGAGTGGAGGCTGTTATAGCAGCAAAGGGGGGACCAACTCCATATTAATGCCCATGATTTTGGAATTAGATGTTTGATGAGTAGGTGGCCACCTACTTTTGGTCATGTAGTGTATTTTAAATGGGAAATAGGATGACTGGGCAGGACATTCATTTTTGGACAAAATTAATTATATGTACCCATTGATTATTGAAGAATATAACTTATAAATGCCTCATTAGCTTAGTTCAACTGTCGTACCCCATCAGAACCCCAAATATAAGCTTGTTTTTATATTGATTTAAGAATAGTTATCAACAATCTAAGCCAACCCTGTCTGTTTTGCCCCATAGTTGCGCATGCAATGGTTTTGTTGCTAAACAACCAAACCGTCTATTTCTGCCCTAATATTATGATAGCCCAACAATGCAGATCAACCCTGCTGGTCTCCTAGGCAACATGCAGTATGTATTGTTTTGGTTTTGATTATCTGAAAAGAGATCAATACATCAGCCATCTGTAGACCATCAGTAGACCATCTGTAGACCATCGGTAGACCATCTGTAGACCATCTGTAGACCATCAGTAGACCATCTGTAGACCATCTGTTGACCATCTGTTGACCATCTGTTGACCATCTGTAGACCATCTGTAGACCATCTGTAGACCATCAGTAGACCATCTGTAGACCATCTGTAGACCATCTGTAGACCATCTGTAGACCATCTGTAGACCATCTGTAGACCATCAGTAGACCATCAGTAGACCATCAGTAGACCATCTGTAGACCATCTGTAGACCATCTGTAGACCATCAGTAGACCATCTGTAGACCATCTGTAGGAGGAAAACACAAGGAGAGAGAGAGAAAGACTGAAAGAGAGGAGAGAGAGACTGTTATGACAGGCCGAAAATAGACAAATGAGTGCAAAGGATTTTTTTAGCGCTCCCTCCTCTTCTCCATCCTGCCTCTCCTCTCCTCTCCTCTACTGTCCTCTCTCTCCATCCTGCCTCTCCTCTCCGCGTAGTCACTAATTGCCAGACGGCCTCATGGATCAGTGTTAGAGGAACTGAAGGAAGTTGACAGCCGTACGTACGTACCTTCCTCCTGCCTGCCTGCCTCGGAGAGACTGATCCGGGGGGGGGGAGAGAGAGAGAGAGAGAGAGAGAGGCTGATGTAAACAGATTCCTCTGTTCTTCTGATTATACATCCGTCGCTTGCCTGCAGGACTGAGGTACAAGGAGTCTTACTCATCTATTTTCTCTTTCTCCTCTCTCTCTCTTCCCCTCTCTCTCCCCTCTCCATCTCTCTACCTCATTCTCTCTCCCTATCTCCTCTCCATCCCTCTCTCTCTCTCTCGCTCTCCCTCTGTAGAGTACGGAGCAGGTCGCAGCGTTCTGCCGCAGTCTCCATGACATGAATCCGTCTGAGTGTGCCACAAGTTCCTCGTCCCCCAGCCTGGAGTCGCCCTTTCCTCCACCCGCCACCCGACAGCTCTCCGACGCCGACAAGCTACGCAAAGTAATCTGTGAGCTGGTGGAGACGGAACGCACCTATGTCAAAGTCAGTACTACCATAGTACTACATCTCTGCTGTGGGTGTGTGTGGGGGGAGGGGAGGGGGGGGGGGGGGGGGGGGGGGGGGGGTGTGTGTTTGTGGGAGGGGTGTTTTTAATTTTTTAGGGGTTAGATCAGCTTTAATATTGCAGATAGATTGTAACTTCCATCAATGTAATTGTCTGCATCACTTCCAATCCCCCATATGTTTTTTTCTTCTTTTTATATACACATACATACACATATATATATATATATATATATATATATATATATATATATATATATATATATATATATATATATATATATATATATACACATATATATATACATACACATACATATACAGATTGATCTGTGTTTATACCCCAGGAGAGCTATATGCACACAGCTGTGCCCTCGGCAGACAGACACACTGCCTAATCCAATTCTGTACAGGACAAATGTGACTGGGAAGAGTTATATCTGGGTCACAGAACACAGCAATACATATTATATAGTATAACTGGGTTATAGAATACAGCAAAGCAATACATATTACGGTATTATAACTGGGTTACAAAGAAGCTCTGAGATATCAAAGCGAACCCATAATATAACCTGAGTACCTATGTAATCTGATCTAACTAGAAACAGAGATGTCACTTTAACCAACCCAGTCAGTGTGAGACCTAAGGGTATGAAGGATCTATATATTTTACACGTGATTAGGAACAGTATTATTTTTATTCAACTCTTTGCATGACAGTTGGTGTAGTACGGCTTTAATAACTTGGCTGGGATCAGATGTTAAGCCAGAGTGGGTTCTATTCTCCTTGTCAGTGTGTGTGTGTACATATCCATGAGGTTAGTGTGTGTGTGTGTGTACATATCCATGAGGTTAGTGTGTGTGTGTGTGTGTGTGTGTGTGTGTGTGTGTGTGTACACATCCATGAGGTTAGTGTGTGTGTGTGTGTGTGTGTGTGTGTGTGTGTGTGTGTGTGTGTGTGTGTGTGTGTACATATCCATGAGGTTAGTGTGTGTGTGTGTGTGTACATATCCATGAGGTTAGTGTGTGTGTGTACATATCCATGAGGTTAGTGTGTGTGTGTGTGTGTGTGTGTGTGTGTGTGTGTGTGTACATATCCATGAGGTTAGTGTGTGTGTGTGTGTGTGTGTGTACATATCCATGAGGTTAGTGTGTGTGTGTGTGTGTGTGTGTACATATCCATGAGGTTAGTGTGTGTGTGTGTCTATGTCTTCAGCACCCTGATCAAGCCTGATTCACTCTTGTCTACGCAGGATCTTAATTGTCTCATTTGGAGGTATTTAACCCCACTGCAGAAGGAGACCTGCCTCACTCAGGATGAGGTATGAAACACACACACACACACACACACACACACACACACACACACACACACACAGGGAGCCAGGGAGAGGGAGGCATACTTGTAGCTTAAATGTATCTGGTACTAAAATGTTTCTCAAAATGGCTGTTGCGTAACCGTGTACAGAGTGTGCTGTGTGTAGGAGGAAGAGAGAGAGAGAGAGGAAGAGAGGAAGGGAGGAAGGGAGGGAGGGAGGGAGGAAGGGAGAGAGAGAGAGGAGGAGGGAGGGAGGGAGGAAGAGAGAGGGAGAGAGAGAGGAGGGAGGGAGGGAGGAAGAGAGAGGAGGGAGGGAGGGAGGAAGAGAGAGGAGGATGTTTAAAGAGAGAACAGAAAGAAATAGCTGTAATGCTGAGACTGTGATGTTGATGGAACACAGAGGGGTTCTATTGCTTTAATAGGATCTCCTCACTTCAACACCCTCACCGCTATGGCCCAAGCGGTACCCTATCTCCTATCTGGTGCGCTACTTTTAACCGAGGGCCATAACGCTCTGGTCAGAAATATGGCATGCCGTTTGGGATGCATCCCTCTCACTAATAGGGCTCTTGACTTGTAATATATTTCCCTCCTTGCTTTGGTTCGGCTCCAGCTGGACATTCTGATTGGGAACCTGCCTGAGATGGTGGAGTTCCAGGTGGAATTCCTGAAGACTCTAGAAGACGGGACCAGATTGGTTCCGGACCTGGAGAAGCTGGAGAGAGTGGATCAGTTTAAGGTACAAAATAACACCCTGCCTGGAACCAAATAACAGCCAGCCTCGAACGACAAAATAACAGCCAGCTTCGAACGACAAAATAACACCCTGCCTTAAATGAAATAAGGCTCTGCTTAGATCCAAATAACAGCATGCCTGGAACAAGTATCAACCCTACAGTACCAGTCAAAAGTTTGGACACACCTACTCATTCAAGGGTTTTTCTTTATTTTTACTATTTTCTACATTGTAGAATAATAGCGAAGACATCAAAACTATGAAATAACACATATGTAATCATGTAGTAACCAAAAAAGTGTTTAACAAATCAAAATATATTTTATATTTGAGATTCTTCAAATAGCCACCCTTTGCCTTGATGACAGCTTTGCACACTCTTGGCATTCTCTCAACCAGCTTCATGAGGTAGTCACCTGGAATGCATTTCAAGTCGCAGTCGCAAAAACCATCAAGCGCTATGATGAAACTGACTCTCATGAGGACCACCACAGGAATGGAAGACCCAGAGATACCTCTGCTGCAGAGGATAAGTTCATTAGAGTTACCAGCCTCAGAAATTGCAGCCCAAATAAATGCTTCACAGAGTTCAAGTCACAGACACATCTCAACATCAACTGTTCAGAGGGGACTGTGTGAATCAGGCCTTCATGGTCGAATTACTGCAAAGAAACCACTACTAAAGGACACCAATAAGAAGAAGAGACTTGCTTGGGCCAAGAAACACGAGCAATGGACATTAGACTGGTGGAAATCTGTCCTTTGGTCTGGAGTCCAAATTGGAGATTTTTGGTTCCAACTGCCGTGTCTTTGTGAGACGCGGTGTGTGTGAACGGATGATCTCTGCATGTGTAGTTCCCACCATAAAGCATGGAGGAGGAGGTGTTATGGTGTGGGGCTGCTTTGCTGGTGACACTGTCTGTTATTTATTTAGAATTCAAGGCACACTTAACCAGCATGGCTACCACAGCATTCTGCAGCGATACGCCATCCCATCTGGTTTGGGCTTAGTGGGACTATCAATTGTTTTTCAACAGGACAATGACCCAACACACCTCCAGGCTGAGTAAGGGCTATTTTATCAAGAAGGAGAGTGATGGAGTGCTGCATTAGATGACCTGGCCTCCACAATCCCCCGACCTCATCCCAGTTGAGATGGTTTGGGATGAGTCGGACGGCAGAGTGAAGGAAAAGCAGCCAACAAGTACTTAGCATATGTGGGAACTCCTTTAAGACTGTTGGAAAAGCATTCCGAGTGAAGCTGGTTGAGAGAATGCCAAGAGTGTGCAAAGCTTTCATCAAGGCAAATGGTGGCTACTTTGAAGAATCTCAAATATAAAATATATTTGGATTTGTTTAACACTTTTTTGGTTACTACATGATTCCATATGTGTTATTTCTTAGTTTTGATGTCTTCACTATTATTCTACAACGTAGAAAATAGTAAAAAAAAAAAAAAAACCTTGAATGAGTAGGTGTGTCCAAACATTTGACTGGTACTGTACATCTGGCATTTTAACTGTCTGCCGCTTCCAAAACACATTGTGTAACCACGACTCTTTCCTCTCCTTCTCAGAAAATCCTCTTCTCTCTAGGAGGCTCCTTCCTGTACTATGCAGACCGTTTTAAGATCTACAGTGCGTTCTGCGCCAGCCACACCAAAGTGCCAAAGGTGCTCGTAAAAGGTGAGTTAAACACAGTTAGTGTGTGTCTGTGTCCAAGGTGCTCAGAAAGGGTTAATAAAACACAGTTAGCGTGTGTGTGCGTGGTTGTGTGTGTCCAAGGTGCTCAGAGAGGGATAATATACCTGAAGCATTCCTCCCTGTTTCCACCGACCCGACTTCCTGCACCCTGCACTATAGAGAAGAACTGCGTCCCAAATGGCACCCTATTCCCTACATAGTGCCCTACTTTTGTCCAATCCCCTATGGGCCCTGTTCAAAAGTAGTGCACTATATAGGGAATAGGGTGCCATTTGGGACCAAGTCTCTTAGGACAGTGTTTCTCAAACAGCGGGCCTAGGACCCCCTGGGGCTATGACTCAGGGGTCCGAATGACCTTTCAAGGTCCTAGACATGTGAATGACCTCTTCATACTAGCAGGTCTCTTAGACAGTGTGAATGACCTCTTCATAGCTATAGCAGGTCTCTTAGGACAGTGTTGAATGACCTCTTCATAGCTATGAGCCAAGGTCTCTTAGGACGGTTGAAGACTCTATAGCTGTCTCTTAGACAGTGTTGAATGACTCTTTCATAGCTTAGGGTCTCTCGGACATGTGAATGACCATCTATAGCAGGTCTCTTAGACAGTGTTGAATGTCTCTCATACTATAGCAGGTCTCTTAGGACAGTGTTGAATGACCTCTTCATAGCAGCTATAAGGTTGAATGATAGTTTTAAAGGTAGAAGAACCCTTCAATGAGGTTTATGAGTGTTGTCCCTCAACTATGCAGGTACTGTAACAGTTGAGCATTTATAGATGCGGTCTGCCAGTTGAATACCCAACATACATGTTAACAGGAAGCTCTTCCTGCAGTCTCAGACAAATGCCTCTTCTAGCTTAGCAGGTCCTTCGGACATGTGATGACCGTTTCATAGTCTAAGGCGTTTTTGGACAGTGACATCAAGTCCAAGGGTCTCTTAGACAGGTGATGCTTTCATACAGTTTGGGAGTGTGATGTCTTCATAGCTAAGGGTGCTCTAGACAGTGGAATGATATACTAAGCATTCCTGACAGAGTTTCACGACCACTTCATGCTACTGCAGTCTTTAGGACAGTTGCAGTCCCAAGGCAGCTCTTCCTAGCAGTGTGTGCCCTCTTTTGCAATCCCTATGGACGTGTTCGAAATTTCATATATAGGGTAGGGCCAGTTTGGACAGACTCTTCTAGCAGGTCTCTAACAGGTGGTTGGACCCCATGTGGGCTCTTAACGTGAAGCTCTTCAAGTATGGGTCCTCTGACATGACCTCTTCATAGAAGGTCTCTTAGGACAGTGTTGAATGACCTCTTCATAGCTATAGCAGGTCTCTTAGGACAGTGTTGAATGACCTCTTCATAGCAGGTCTCTTAGGACAGTGTTGAATGACCTCTTCATAGCTATAGCAGGTCTCTTAGGACAGTGTTGAATGACCTCTTCATAGCTATAGCAGGTCTCTTAGGACAGTGTTGAATGACCTCAGAAAATGTGGACTTGTGTTTTTCTGGTCTCGGTCTTGACTCTGTCTCGGACCCTTGTCCCCCTCTCGGTCTCGCCCCCCCCCCCCTCAGGTCTTGGTCTTGAATCAGTCTCGAACACAACACTGCTGTATATTCAACTCCCCAAAAGAGATGTTATTTTATGACCGTACACTTTAACAGATCACATCAGACTCGTGTCAAACTCATTCCACGGAGGACCGAGTGTCGGCTGGTTTTCGCTCACCTGGTTGTCTAGGTCACTAATTAGTAAAGAACTCCCCTCACCTGGTTGTCTAGGTCACTAATTAGTAAAGAACTCCCCTCACCTGGTTGTCTAGGTCACTAATTAGTAAAGAACTCCCCTCACCTGGTTGTCTAGGTCACTAATTAGTAAATAACTCTCCTCACCTGGTTGTCTAGGTCACTAATTAGTAAAGAACTCCCCTCACCTGGTTGTCTAGGTCACTAATTAGTAAAGTACTCCCCTCACCTGGTTGTCTAGGTCACTAATTAGTAAAGAACTCCCCTCACCTGGTTGTCTAGGTCACTGATTAGTAAAGAACTCCCCTCACCTGGTTGTCTAGGTCACTAATTAGTAAAGAACTCCCCTAACCTGGTTGTCTAGGTCACTAATTAGTAAAGAGCTCCCCTAACCTGGTTGTCTAGGTCTTAACTGAAAGGAAAAAACTAAAACCTGCAGACACTAGGCCCTGCATGGAATGAGTTTGACCCCTCTGCCATAAGAGCATGGTAGCAGCAAACAGTCGGGGGACGTTATGTTGGATGTTATTTAATTATCCAGCTCCTCTGAAACATGTGGAGGTTATGTGTGTAAAACCCTCTCCTCCGCTCTCATTGCATCTAGCTAAGACAGATGCAGACTTCAAGGCGTTTCTGGAAGAGAGGAACCCTAAACAGCAACACTCCTCAACCCTGGAGTCCTACCTGATCAAACCCATCCAGAGAGTCCTGAAGTACCCACTTCTACTGAGGGAGCTGTACTCACTGACTGACCCTGACAGTGAAGAACACTATCACCTGAATGGTAAGGTGGGAGGTCTGGAGCTGTACTCACTGACTGACCCTGACAGTGAAGAACACTATAACCCGAATGGTAAGGTGGGAGGTCTGGAGCTGTACTCACTGACTGACCCTGGCAGTGAAGAACACTATAACCCGAATGGGGGAGGGAGGGAGGGAGGGAGGGAGGGGAGGGAGGGAGGGAGGGAGGGAGGGAGGGAGGGAGGGAGGGGAGGGAGGGAGGGTGGGAGGGAGGGTGGGAGGGGGGAGGGAGGGAGGGTATGTGAGAGAGCATTACCATAAGGTCAGCAGTGTGTGTGTGTGTTTATGTATCATTATTTCATAGATGGAGAAATGGGTGCACTGCACACTACTTCTAGACAACATAAGATGAATACATGTAGTCATGGTGACAGTGAGTCATTTCCACTAATACATCACACTAATGGTGTTCCTCTTGTCTTCTCTCTGCATCCTGTTCAGTTGCTATGAAGGCCATGAACAAGGTGGCCAGTCACATCAATGAGATGCAGAAGATCCACGAGGAGTTTGGGTTGGTGTTTGACCAGCTCATAGCAGAGCAGAGTGGAGACAAGAAAGAGGTACGGTGATGTAAGAAGGCGGTACGGCGTATTGCAACGCCAGGGGTTGTGGGTTCGTTTCCCACGGGGGGGGGGGGCCAGTATGAAAAAAATGTATGCACTCACTAACTGTAAGTCGCTCTGGATAAGAGCTAAAATGTAAATGTATGGGGTTGTTGTAAGAAAGAGGTACAATGGTGTTGTTGTAAAAAATAGGTACGGTGTTGTTGTATGAAAGACATACGATGTTGTTGTTGTATGAAAGAGGTATGTGTTGTTGTATGAAAGAGGTACGGTGTTGTTGTATGAAAGAGGTACGGTGTTGTTGTATGAAAGACATACGATGTTGTTGTTGTATGAAAGAGGTACAGTGTTGTTGTATGAAAGACGTACGGTGGTGTTGTTGTATGAAAGACGTACAGTGTTGTTGTTGTATGAAAGACGTACGGTGTTGTTGTTGTATGAAAGACGTACGGTGTTGTTGTATGAAAGAGGTACGGTGTTGTTGTATGAAAGAGGTACAGTGTTGTATGAAAGAGGTACGGTGTTGTATGAAAGAGGTACGGTGGTTGTATGAAAGAGGTACAGTGTTGTATGAAAGAGGTACAGTGTTGTAGGAAGCCTCCTTATGTGACATTGGTGTGTTGCTAATGTAACATTGCTGTAACATTAGTGTGTTGTAACATGGTTGTGTTGTGTGTTCTAGGTTGCTGATCTGTCGATGGGTGACATGCTGCTCCACACCAGCGTAGCCTGGATCAACCCTCCCTCCTCCCTGGGCAAATGGAAGAAAGACCCCCAACTGGCTGCATTCAGTACGTTAAGGACAAGACCCAGTGTGCATCCGATATGGCCTTCTCAGAACCATGCAGCTAATGTGGTTTTAGTTCTAGAACAGGACTAGTGCTAGTTCTAGAACCTTCTCTTGATCACTCTTAGGCTGGCTGTCTGCTACATAAGGATACGTGTACCAATCTGTCTAATGACATAGGCTGTGTCCCCTATTCCCTAGTTAGTGCACAACTTTTGACCACAGCCCATTTGGGACTGAGTTGCAAGCCTGATAACCCAATTAAACATAATAATATATTATGGTAGCTTACTCGTGTATTTGAAATGTGTTACTCAAACACTGAAGTGGTTTTGAGAAATGAGTGTGAGAAGTCTTTCTGCTAACCCTCTCATCACCTTCTTCTTCGTTCAGTCTTCAAAACAGCTGTGGTGTTTGTGTGTAAGGATGGCTCCAAGCAGAAGAAGAAAATGGTGAGTTCCATCTCTCTTAAAGCGGCAATCAGCAGTTGAAACGAAAACGAAGCCCTTGTTTTGGTAAACAGCCGAGGGACGGGGCTGGAGAAATGTAACCACTCTCAAATTCAAAGACAGAGCTATGGATGCAAGGACTGACCATCCATGATATCAAAATGATAGTTTTAACCATGTTTTTAGGCTATACAGTTTTTGTTAAGATTTAGTTTGTTTTGGGGTTCTGATGGGGTACGACAGTTGAACTAAGCTCATGAGGCATTTTTAAGTTATATTCTTCAAGAATCAATGGGTACATATCATTCATGTATAAGTCCAAAAATGGATGTAGCAACTGTTGGTTTCCCCTTTAACACAACCCACTTTCAACCATGGTTTCTGCGAATCCTACCAGTGATATTCCCTTCCCATCTAGTGGTTCTAATGAATCCTACCAGTGATATTCCCTTCCCATCAAGGGGTTCTAATGAATCCTACCAGTGATATTCCCTTCCCATCTAGTGGTTCTAATGTATTTGGTTTTGTTGAAGCACCACTTCCATAACTAGTCCAGTGGGTCAGTGGTACCTTCCATAACTAGTCCAGCGGGTCAGTGGTACCTTCCATGACTAGTCCAGCGGGTCAGTGGTACATTCCATGACTAGTCCAGCGGGTCAGTGGTACCTTCCATGACTAGTCCAGCGGGTCAGTGGTACCTTCCATGACTAGTCCAGCGGGTCAGTGGTACATTCCATGACTAGTCCAGCGGGTCAGTGGTACCTTCCATGACTAGTCCAGCGGGTCAGTGGGACCTTCCATGACTAGTCCAGCGGGTCAGTGGTCCCAGCTGATGTATTGTAAAACACGTATCACACAGTCATCTAAACCGTCCTGCAGCGCACGTGATCACACCCCTGTAACATATAAAAGCTTTATAAAGCATTCATAAAGTCTTCATAAGCATTACATAGATACTTCGGAAATGATTTATGCATCTGTTGGGGTGTGTATCTGTCTGTTGGGGTGTGTATCTGTCTGTTGGGGGGTGTATCTAAGGTCTGTCTGTGTGTCTCTCAGGGTGGCTCCCATCGAGCATCGTCAGTCTCGTCTGAAGACAAGGACCCATTCCGCTTCCGTCACATGATCTCCACAGACACCCTCCAAGTCCGAGCCCTCAATAACCAAGGTACAGTTCAATATAGAGCCCTCAATAACCAATGTACAGTTCAATATAGAGCCCTCAATAACCAAGGTACAGTTCAATATAGAGCCCTCAATAACCAAGGTACAGTTCAATATAGAACCCTCAATAACCAAGGTACAGTACAATATAGAGCCCTCAATAACCAAGGTACAGTTCAATATAGAGCCCTCAATAACCAATGTACAGTTCAATATAGAGCCCTCAATAACCAAGGTACAGTTCAATATAGAGCCCTCAATAACCAATGTACAGTACAATATAGAGCCCTCAATAACCAAGGTACAGTTCAATATAGAGCCCTCAATAACCAATGTACAGTTCAATATAGAGCCCTCAATAACCAAGGTACAGTTCAATATAGAGCCCTCAATAACCAATGTACAGTTCAATATAGAGCCCTCAATAACCAAGGTACAGTTCAATATAGAGCCCTCAATAACCAATGTACAGTTCAATATAGAGCCCTCAATAACCAAGGCACAGTACAATTCAATATAGAGCCCTCAATAACCAATGTACAGTTCAATATAGAGCCCTCAATAACCAATGTACAGTTCAATATAGAGCCCTCAATAACCAAGGTACAGTTCAATATAGAGCCCTCAATGACCAATGTACAGTTCAATATAGAGCCCTCAATAACCAAGGTACAGTACAATATAGAGCCCTCAATAACCAAGGCACAGTTCAATATAGAGCCCTCAATAACCAAGGTACAGTTTCAATATAGAGCCCTCAATAACCAATGTACAGTACAATATAGAGCCCTCAATAACCAAGGTACAGTACAATTCAATATAGAGCCCTCAATAACCAAGGTACAGTTCAATATAGAGCCCTCAATAACCAATGTACAGTACAATATAGAGCCCTCAATAACCAAGGTACAGTTCAATATAGAGCCCTCAATAACCAATGTACAGTTCAATATAGAGCCCTCAATAACCAAGGTACAGTTCAATATAGAGCCCTCAATAACCAATGTACAGTTTCAATATAGAGCCCTCAATAACCAAGGTACAGTTCAATATAGAGCCCTCAATAACCAATGTACAGTTCAATATAGAGCCCTCAATAACCAAGGCACAGTACAATTCAATATAGAGCCCTCAATAACCAATGTACAGTTCAATATAGAGCCCTCAATAACCAATGTACAGTTCAATATAGAGCCCTCAATAACCAAGGTACAGTTCAATATAGAGCCCTCAATGACCAATGTACAGTTCAATATAGAGCCCTCAATAACCAAGGTACAGTACAATATAGAGCCCTCAATAACCAAGGCACAGTTCAATATAGAGCCCTCAATAACCAAGGTACAGTTCAATATAGAGCCCTCAATAACCAATGTACAGTACAATATAGAGCCCTCAATAACCAAGGTACAGTACAATTCAATATAGAGCCCTCAATAACCAAGGTACAGTTCAATATAGAGCCCTCAATAACCAAGGTACAGTTCAATATAGAGCCCTCAATAACCAAGGTACAGTACAATATAGAGCCCTCAATAACCAAGGTACAGTACAATATAGAGCCCTCAATAACCAAGGTACAGTTCAATATAGAGCCCTCAATGACCAATGTACAGTTCAATATAGAGCCCTCAATAACCAAGGTACAGTACAATATAGAGCCCTCAATAACCAAGGTACAGTACAATTCAATATAGAGCCCTCAATAACCAAGGCACAGTTCAATATAGAGCCCTCAATAACCAAGGTACAGTACAATATAGAGCCCTCAATAACCAAGGTACAGTACAATATAGAGCCCTCAATAACCAAGGTACAGTACAATATAGAGCCCTCAATAACCAATGTACAGTTCAATATAGAGCCCTCAATAACCAATGTACAGTTCAATATAGAGCCCTCAATAACCAATGTACAGTTCAATATAGAGCCCTCAATAACCAAGGCACAGTTCAATATAGAGCCCTCAATAACCAAGGCACAGTTCAATATAGAGCCCTCAATAACCAAGGTACAGTACAATATAGAGCCCTCAATAACCAAGGTACAGTTCAATATAGAGCCCTCAATAACCAAGGTACAGTTCAATATAGAGCCCTCAATAACCAAGGCACAGTTCAATATAGAGCCTCAATAACCAAGGTACAGTTCAATATAAGCCCTCAAAACCAAGGTACAGTTCATATAGAGCCCTCAATAACCAAGGTACAGTTCAATATAGAGCCCTCAATAACCAATGTACAGTTCAATATAGAGCCCTCAATAACCAATGTACAGTTCAATATAGAGCCCTCGATAACCAAGGTACAGTTCATATAGAGCCCTCAATAACCAATGTACAGTTCAATATAGAGCCCTCAATAACCAAGGTACATTCAATATAGAGCCCTCAATAACCAATGTACATTCATATAGAGCCCTCAATAACCAATGTACAGTCAATATAGAGCCCTCGATAACCAAGGTACAGTACAATATAGAGCCCTCAATAACCAATGTACAGTTCAATATAGAGCCCCATCGATAACCAAGTACCGTTTCAATATAGAGCCCTCAATAACACAATGTACATTCAAATAGAGCCCTCTAACCACAGGTACATACAATATAGAGCCCCAATAACCAAGGTACAGTTCATATAGAGCCCTCAATACCAATGTACAGTTCAATATAGAGCCCTCAATAACCAACGTACAGTTCAATATAGAGCCCTCGATAACCAAGGTACAGTTCAATATAGAACCCTCAATAACCAAGGTACAGTACAGTGAGCCATACTGATGAATCCTGAAATACATTTACGTTTTGTCACATGTCCTTCTCTGTCTGAATAGACATGATTGTAATGTTCTCTGTCTGAATATACATGATTGTAATGTTCTCTGTCTGAATAGACGAGTGAGATTATGAAGATAGTCAGTGAGCTGTACTGTTCTGTACGTGAGGCTATAACTGTGTGTGTGTGTGTTCCTCGCAGACGGAGAGGGCTCTGCCGTGTGTGAGATCGTCCACGTCAAGTCCGAGTCAGAAGGACGGCCGGAGAGGACATTCCACCTGTGCTGCAGGTGAGCCTCCTGGTGGCATGTCTGTCAGTCCTGACGGAGGACGATAATGACATTAAGTCACTGATTTATTTTGGAACCACCTTCAAAAGCGTTTAATAGTTTTCATTTTAAATAATTTAATTATTTTCATATTTAATTAATTTATATAGCGCCTTTCCAAATGCCCAAGGCACTGTAAGAGGGGAAACTCCTTGATGCTGTTTAATGTTGTGGCTGTTGGCCTATATATGTCTTAACGATCTGAGAACGTCTTAATCATCCAAACAAATTAAATCAATTTCTGTCTCATCCAGTTCTGTGGACAGTAAGAAGGACTTCCTGAAGACAGTCCACTCCATCCTGAGAGATAAACAACGGCGTCAGCTGATGAAGACAGAGTCTCTATCCCCCCAACCAGCAGTACGTCCCCTTCGGAGGCAAACGCCTCTGTGCCCTGAAGGGAGCGAGACCTGCCATGCACAGAGCAGGTAGGGGGGCGGGGTGGGAGTGGCGTGCGTGTGCGTGCGTGTGCGTGCGTGTGTGTGTGTGTGTGTGAGCGTGATTAAAGCAGGTAAAAGCTAACACCTAGCTTACGCTGTGTATATTTTATTATCTCATCTGTTGATGTTGAAGCAAGGTTATCTAATCAATCCATGCCACTGAAACCATGACGTGTGTCTGTCCTTGCCCTCTGCAGTGTCAGACCCGGCGCGGACCCTGGGCCGGAGGAAGTTGGTGCGGAACCGTTTCACCATCGACACAGACATCGTCTTCGATGGCGAGCCGGACCAGGATTCCCCTCTGTCCCCACTGTCCCCCGAAGAGCCTGAGGGGCGGGGACAAAAGGAAGGACAGGGACGGGGGGAGACAGACCGCTGGGTGGAGGAGCAGTTTGACCTGGAGCGATACGAGGAGGAGCAGGAGACGCAGGCGGAAGGAGGAGGAGGAGACGTGAAAGAGACGGACATCCTTAGTGACGACGACGATTTCTGCCAGTCTGTCAGAGGCCCCTCCACTGAACCCCCGTCCACCACAGACCTAGAGGGGCCTGTAGGGGCCTTGTCCCTGGGAGAGGAAGGCCAAGAGGTGGGCCCTAAACACCCCCAGCTCCAGGGAGCCACGGGGACCACTACCCCAGGGATGAGGCTCTCCCACCTGGGGAAGCAGTGTGCCCTGGTTGGTGTGAGTGTGGATGACCAGGGGGCTAGGGAGGAGGGTGAGGACATCTGGGTACGCAGGGAGGACTGCCCCCCCGGACACACAGAGCTAGACTAGAAGAAGAGACAGAACGCTACAGACCGTGTGCCTCAGACAGAAAGCTTTACATGACACTGCGTCCCAAACGGCACCATTAGTGCACTTCTTTTGACCAGGGCCTATAGGGTATCCCATAGGGCTCTGGACAAAAGTAGTGCACCACATAGGGAATAGGGTGCCATTTGGGACGCAACCGTGGGCTACAAGACAAGAGACGATCAGTGAACTCTCAATCAATCCCCATCCATCAATAATGTACGGCACAGCTACTTTGAGAGAACTCCTCCTTGCCAATGTGGTTGAACGTGTTGTTTTGTAGTGTACAGATAGACTGGTGAACCTTGAACTGAAGCCCTCCAATGGGAGCAATACTGGAATACAGGGAGAAGAAGGGGTCTTATCCAATCAACCAATGATATGGCGACATGGAGGGGGGGGTCTTCCAATCATGGTGACGTAGAGGCCAAGCTGTAAGAGGCTGACACTGACAGACTGACTGTCTAACGGGACAATCATGGACCCTAATCAATACTGTTGATTGGCATGGTTTGCACATAGGGGCAGATTCCTGACTATGGGTATCCTGCTTATTGTTGCCACGTGGGTATTTGTTGTGAACACATGAAGCCTTGACTGAGAGACCGAGACTTTGTATCATAGTAAAGGGCTGTATATTATTTCGATATCAAATAATACACAATGACAGAGGACCGACTAGTCAAGTCTTTCGAAGTTGACTGTTTCCACATTATTCTCTTTATCTCCACACTTTTTTTTTTGCAGCAGTTTACTTTCTTGGTTGCGTATATAATCTTGACCTCCTGTTTTGCAAACCGAAACCAGGCTAGCTTTTTTAGTCTCAAAACGATTTAGTTTGTTCTGTGATGACATAGAATAACAGATGTATGTTTTATTAACCCCGTCTTTACTGAGGCTGTTTTTTTTTCTTTTCTTATTTTTACTCAACTAAATCCTGTTTTACTTGAATTGTCATATTTATCATTTTTCTCTTTAGGTAAAAAAAAAAAAAAACGTTCCAGTCATGTTATCAACCTTTACTGCTCTTTAGTACAGCCGTTCTGATTAGCTACTACTCTCTCTCACCTTTAGTATGACCAACACTGTTTGTGCACATTCTTTGTTGTGGAGAACTTGCGTATACATTCAATAGTATTTTTCTGTTAAGAAATGAAATCTTGTTGTTCAACCACTAATAATGCATTTTCAAACCATATTTTTTTATTTATTTGTTTTAGTGTATTGGTGTTGATGATATTTGCCACCACAACAGACCCCCCCCCCCCCAAAAAAAAATAACTTTCTAAAATAAATGCCAAACTTGCTGGATGCAATCAAGATGGTGTAGATGTCGAAACTAGTGGAAAATGTTGAAGTTGAAAATAAATCCTATAATAATAATAATAATAATAATAATAATAATATTTCTTGTGAAACAACCCAGTGTGCTACTAAGACTACATTTGTATTACTCTGTATGTAAATATTACAATGTATTGATATCATATCAAATAAATTGGTTTCCTACTTATCATCTACAGCTCTGCACTGTTGTTTTCAGTCATGGTTTGGTTCAACCTCAGCCTCTAGTGGTTTCTATGGACTGTGAAAGGTTGCAGAGAACCGTTTTGTCAAGAGACAGAGCGACACTTCGGTACAAAATGCCCAGACGTGTCTGGAAAAATAGCAAATTCTGAGAAAACTATTCCTCTAGGTGATCCGGAAAGAGAGGGAAGACCACACTGTTTCAGAACAGCAGGTGAGCAGCAAGAACAGGTGAAAACTCTGACTTTCAAGACCACAGAGCAGCCGCTGAAGTCAGACAAGCACAGTCAACGAGGGATGAGAAGAGAGAGAGAGAGATCGATGTGAGCCAGAGAAAGAGGTGAGAGGAGGTCTGCTGCATAGGGCTATTCTGAACAGGTCAACCTGTCTCATTGAGAAGCTGCCAAACTGTAGCAGCATGACTGTCCTGCTCACAGCCAGGAGGTGAAATAATGGGTCAGGTCTCTGGAGAGGAAAGACAGGGAGGAGGAAGAGGGACAGAGAGGAGGAAGTGGGACAGAGAGGAGGAAGTGGGACAGAGAGGAGGAAGAGGGACAGAGAGGAGGAGAGGGACAGCGAGGAGGAGGAGGAGGAAGAGGGACAGAGAGGAGGAAGAGGGACAGAGAGGAGGAGTGGGACAGAGAGGAGGAGGAGGAAGAGGGACAGAGGAGGAGAGGGACAGAGAAGAGTAAGAGGGGGACAGAGGAGGAAGAGGGACAGAGAGGTGGAGGAGGAAGAGGGACAGAGAGGTGGAGGAGGAAGAGAGGGACAGAGAGGAGGAAGAGGGACAAAGGAGGAAGGAGGACAGAGAGGAGGAAGGAGGACAGAGAGGAGGAAGGAGGACAGAAAGGAGGAGAGGGACAGAGAGGAGGAAGAGGGGGGCAGAGAGGAGGAAGGAGGACAGAAAGGAGGAGAGGGACAGAGAGGAGGAAGAGGGACAGAGAGGAGGAAGGAGGACAGAAAGGAGGAGAGGGACGGAGAGGAGGAAGAGGGACAGAGAGGAGGAAGAGGGACAGATAGGAGTAAGAGGGGGACAGAGAGGAGGAAGAGGGACAGAGAGGAGGAAGAGGGACAGAGAGGAGGAAGCGGGACAGAAAGGAGGAGAGGGACAGTGAGGAGGAAGAGGGGGACAGAGGAGGAAGAGGGATAGAGGGGAGGAAGAGGGACAGAAAGGAGTAAGAGGGGGACAGAGAGGAGGAAGAGGGACAGAGAGGAGGAAGAGGGACAGAAAGGAGGAGAGGGACAGTGAGGAGGAAGAGGGGGACAGAGAGGAGGAAGAGGGACAGAAAGGAGGAAGGAGGACATAGAGGAAGAAGGAGGATAGAAAGAAGGAGAGGGACAGAGAGGAGGAAGAGGGGGATAGAGAGGAGGAAGAGGGACAGAAAGGAGGAGAGGGACAGAGAGGAGGAAGAGGGGGACAGAGGAGGAAGAGGGACAGAGAGGAGGAAGAGGGAAAGAGAGGACTAAGAGGGGGACAGAGAGCAGGAAGAGGGACAGAGAGGAGGAGGAGAGGGACAGAGAGGAGGAGAGGGACAGAGAGGAGGAAGAGGGACAGAGAGGAGGAAGAGGGACAGAGAGGAGGAGAGGGACAGAGAGGAAGAGGGACAGAGAGGGGCAAGAGGGACAGAGAGGAGGAAGAGGGACAGAGAGGAGGAAGAGGGGGACAGAGAGGAGGAAGAGGGACAGAGAGGAGGAAGAGGGACAGAGAGGAGGAAGGAGGACAGAAAGGAGGAGAGGGACAGAGAGGAGGAAGAGGGACAGAGAGGAGGAAGAGGGACAGAAAGGAGGAGAGGGACAGAGAGGAGGAGGAAGAGGAGAGGGACAGAGAGAGGAGGAAGAGGAGAGGGACAGAGGAGGAATTGAGGGACAGAGAGGAGGAAGAGGGACAGAGAGGGACAGAGAGGAGGAAGAGGGACAGAGAGGAGGAGAGGGACAGAGAGGAGGAGGAGGAAGAGGGACAGAGGAAGAGAGGGGACAGAGAGGAGGAGAGGGACAGAGAGGTGGAGGAGGAAGAGGGACAGAGAGGAGGAAGAGAGGGACAGAGAGGAGGAAGAGGGACAGAGAGGCGGGAAGAGGGACAAAGAGGAGGAAGAGGGACAGAGAGGAGGAATTGAGACAGAGAGGAGGAAGGGGCCGGGAGGAGGAAGAGGGACAGAGAGGAGGAAGAGAGGGACAGAGAGGAGGAAGAGAGGGACAGAGAGGAGGACAGGGACAGAGAGGAGGAGGAGGAAGAGGGACAGGGAGGAGGGGAGGGACTGAGAAGAGGAGGAGGAGGATTAGGAGGAAGAGAGACAGAGAGGAGGAAGAGAGACAGAGGAGAGGAGGAAGAGGGACAGAGGAGGAGAGGGACAGAGGAGAGGAGGAGAGGGACAGAGGAGGAGAGGGACAGAGGAGAGGAGGAGAGGGACAGAGGGGAGGAGAGCAGGGAGGTGTAGAGCAGTGTATTTGCTTGGCCCTTGTCATGAAAACATGGAGCAGCCATGGTTTCCCCTCCCTGAGCCCATCCCTCCCAGTCAGCCTGCTCTGGTCTTTAACCACTAACAGGACACAACAGGGCTATGTCCGGCAGGAGATGAATGTACTGGTGTTTTCCTTGTACAAAAAAACCTAATTAAACCCAGACTACATGTCATTAACCCAACCTATTAAACCCAACCTATCTCCTTGTGAAGACAAATTTCCGTCACTAATGACACCCTATTCTCTATGTAGTGCACTACTTTTTAATCAGAGCCATATAGTGTACTTAATAGGGAATAGGGTGCCATTTGGGGCACAGCCCTTATCTTGGCAAGGGAGTGAGTTTGCTGGAGATGTTGTCTCTGACAGTCACCCTGGCTGGCCACTGTCACTCACTCACACTCACACACACACACACACACACACACCCTGTCACTCACCTAACTAACACGGCTGATCAGTGGCTTGATTGAGTCTGGAACCATCTCTCGCTCTGTTCTCTGGAACAGGGATAATTGACAGTGACAGGGAGTGCGTGTGTGTCCACTCCACACAGCCAGTAGGTCCACACTGAGTGCAGGGGAATAGATGAGAGAGTAGAGGGGGGGGGGGGACAGGGCTCCACTACTGCAGCACTACAGAGCCCCAGAGTAGAGGGGGGGGGGGGGGGGGGGGGGGGGGGGGGGGGGGGGGGACAGGGCTCCACTACTGGCAGCACTACAGAGCCCCAGAGTAGAGGGGGGGGGGGAACAGTGGCTCCACTACTGCAGCACTACAGAGCCCCAGGAGTAGAGGGGGGGGGGGGAAGGGCTTCCACTAATGTAGCACTCACAGAGCCCAGAGTCGAGGGGGGGGGGGGGAAAACAGGCTTCCACTACTGCAGCACTAAAAGAGCCCCATGAGTGAGGGGGGGGGGGGGGGGGGGGGGGGGGGGGAACAGGGCTCCACTACTGTAGCACTAAGAGCCCAAGAGTAGGAAGGGGGGGGAACAGGGACCTCCATACTGAGCAACTACGGAGGCCCCAGTGTTAGAGGGGGGGGGGGGTGGGGGAACCGGGCTCACTACGTAGCCACTACAGGCCCCAGAGTTAGAGGGGGGGGAACAGGGCTCCACTACTGCAGCACTACAGAGCCCAGATCGAGGGGGAGGGGGGGACAGGGCTCCACTACTGCAGCAATACAGAGACCAAGAGTAAGGGGGGGGGGGGGGACAGGGCTCCACTACTGCAGCACTACAGAGCCCCAGATGGGCATTATAGAGTGTTGTTGAGGCTACAGCTGACACCCTGTTACGGTTCAACCCCTCCTGTTGATGGAATCCATCAGAGCCTGAGTGGAGAGAGACAGGAGTGGAGAGAGAGAGAGGGCAGTGGAGAGAGACAGGAGTGGAGAGAGAGAGAGAGGGGGTGGAGAGAGACAGGAGTGGAGAGAGACAGG